TCTTAACCATCGCACCACTCGGCTGGCCCTAGCGCATTTTCTTAAATCAATCTATATACAAGAATGTGAAGAGTTCAGCTTGTAGTCCTATTATATTTACGTTTTGAGAAAATAAAAAATAGGAGGTCTTTCCTTCTTCCTCGATCTTTATATATTAAATATTAATTTGGATTCTTAATTATTATGATTTAATTGAAATATAAAACTAGAAAGCAAATTAAAGTTTATTGAGGGACAATTGTTGGTAAAGATACATAGGTATCAAGTGTACAATTCTGTATTACATCATCTATATACCGCATTCTTCAATATAAATTTTTAAGATGTCGAAACAGCAGTTCAAAAAAGAGAATAGGCTTTTGATATCTGTAGGGTCAGGAAAATCCCATCCAGGCCACAGGCATCAGGACTCATTGTGTCCCAGTCCTTCTTCAATACACTCAGACCCCTCAGTCAAATGGATTGCTCCCTCTACCACACACAAAGAAAGAGTTGTTCTTATTTTACACATAACTTTTAGGAAAAAGTTTTTGAGATTAATTAGTGATTAAGATCTTCAATGCACATGTAAGTGACTCATATTGATGGATAAGCATAAGGCAAGAAACATCTGTGGAGTAAAGAAATAGCTATTGTGAATTTAGGTGATCAGGGTTTGTGTCCCTTTACCTTTGCAAATTTCAAAGCAGTCACACAGGACCCACATATTTGGCCAAAGACTTATGATGGTTCTGCAGAACTCAGGGGCATCAAGAGAACAAACACATGTGCTATCCTCTGAGGCTGAATGACACACATGAGGAAACTGTCCTGTGGCGTTTTAGCTCTAAATTAAAACATGTCGATGAATAAATATCCAGAAAGAGCTAACCTCCAGAAAAGTGAGGTATGCATGGGCCTTTATAACATAACAAGACTGAAATGATGTTAACATGTATTTTTATGTAACTTTTAAATTGCTGCAGAGAAAATTTACAATAACATATATGGAAGAATATATTGCATGCAGTATTGAACACATGCATTAAATAAAAATATGCATGAAATTATTTACCTTGATGCTTTACAGTTTTACCTTTAGGTACACAATTTCATCAACCTTAAAACACAGGGTTCCACATATATGAAACAATTGTATAGTAAGCAACAATCTGAAACATGTTGCACATCCTAGGAGTAGATAATAAGTAATAATATAAGAGGTAAACTTACCATTCTTAGTATTATTGAACCTTGTTGCACACCCCTTATGCCCTAAGAAACACCTAAATATACTTTTTCTTACAGATATAATGAAATTTATTTTCACAAGGTTCATCCAGAACATTTCTTCTTCTGTGTATTATGCAGTTCTGTGTATTTATGGTTTGAGAGGGTAAAAACCTGTAAGGAGAAATAAAATATTAGCATATGATAAAAGGAATAGAGAATGTTCAGGGATGGTGTTTTTATTAAACGAGAGAACTTTTTAAAGTTTTTGAATTGATTTAAAATACTGAGTCATTATATCTTTTTCATTCAACAGCCACAGTTTTCACAATATTATAATATTACAAAATTAATTTATTTCCTCAATAATCAATAGCATTGAGGTTAGAGAGCTTTTTTGTTTCTGCCATTGTTATTAATAATTTTGATATATAATTAACTTTGCCTCTATTTTGTTTAAAATATACTGACCAATTTAGTCTAGGAAAAGAAATCAGAGCACAAAAAATTTGTCATTGTATGATGCTGCAAATCACATGTTTATAAATGAACATGAGATTCTAAGATTACAAATATGCAGAAGCCCAGCATATTTGAAACATAAAGGGTGCTGAGAATATTGGGATCCCCCAGAATAAAGAAAATAATGGCGATCCTGTTTTCCCGGGCAGCTCCTCTGCGTGAGCATCGGTACATGCACAGCACATCCAAGTGTGTGTACCAAGGAAGAAAGAGAAAGTCAAAAGCTCTTTTATGGTCAGAAGTACATTAACTTCATATCACTTGAGCATAAACTTGGATGTTCTAGATGGGGCTAAAATTGTTACTGTCTTGTATCTATTCTCTTGTTTATATTCTCAGGCTCCAGAGAGGTGGTTTTAGCTACAGTATCCCCGGATGTTATATTCTTTGATCATACCTAAGGATAAACTCATAAAAAGACCTTAAGTAGGAGAAACTTACAGATCTTGGGAGAGAGCAGAGCCATCCTCCCCAAACCAGGCACGATGTTCTTTATTGTAAGACAGTCCTAGCCAGTAAAAATGTGTAGAGGAGATCATCAAACTCTGATGGGAAACAGAGACAAGCATATTAACTTAATTCGAATCTGCTCTGGGAATAATGTACTTTCCAGAAAGTCAGTGTCCAGAATCAAATCCAGACTTCAAATCATTTAAACTAAAATCCTGCCTTATGTCTAGTTTAGGAGGTATAGTCACATGTCTCATATTTTCTCACTATAAGGCCTATTCATTTATGGAGACAAAATATCACAAAATCTCATTCTTGAAGGAATGAAAAATATTATAAAGGGTAAAATTTTCATAGAACACTTCTTTCACAGATATTGACTATCAAATTTCAACCCAAATCAACAGTATCTTGTCAGATAAAATTCTTTGATAGGCCTACTCAACCTACACTCAACACAGGTTCCTCATGCAGATGGAGAAATTTTTCATTTTTTCTTCAGAATTGGGTAATTATTATGATCATGCTCTTCATGTCCATTGCACATTACATCCAAGAATGATAATGAAAGATATATAATTACCAAATAAATTATAAATTCAATTAAAGGTCTAAATATTTAAAAGTTGTCGGTTGGTTATTTGAATAAAAACAATGAGCTATTATTTCTTCTTTGATTTTTCTAAAATGTCTCCTCAACTTTGTCTGGCATTTATCTTGATTTTTTATCCTATAATATAAGTATTTGAGAAATTTTATATAGGTTTTATAATGAGTATTTTAAGGGATAAGAAATTAGTAAGTCACTTTTAGTTCAAATATAACCACTCAGTTATTGATCTGATTAGAGATTTCAAGGTATTCATCTCACTTAGGCAGTATATTTTTCCTAGGTCAAAGGAAGTATAAGAAACCACAATTAAATACGTACCAATTCATCTTTGTTTTGCAACTGAAGCAGACTGGAATTTTGAGAGGCACAGAAGTTCCTGCTTTCTGCCCAAGTTTTTTTTTCATTAGAAATGAAGTAACAGTTGCATTGGTACCCAATCCACTTTTCTTGACAAGAACAGCAGTCAGAGCCTAAGAGAAAAAACAAAAGATGAGTGATGACATTGGAGATTCAATTTTTTTTACATATTAAATGTATTGAGGTGACATTGGTTAGTAAAGTTATATAGGTTTCAAGTGTACCATTCTATAATACATCATCTATATATTGCATTGTGTGCTCACCACCCAGAGTCAGTTCTCCTTCCATCACCATATATTTGTCCCCTTTACCTTCTTCTATTATCCCCTCCCACCTTACCTTCTGGTAAACACTAAATCGTTGTGTGTGTCTATGAATCTTTGCTTGTTTGTTTATTGCTTTAAGTGTTATATCCTACTTATGAGTCAATCATATGGTTCTCCCCTTTTTCTGTCTGACTTATTTTGATTGGCATGATAATCTCAAGACACATCCATTAAAAGCCTCAATTTTTTAAATGTTATTTACTTACTCAGAAATCACTTGTGAGGGCCGGCTCAGTGGCTCAGTTGGTTAAGAGCGTGAGCTCTGAGCAACAGGGTCGCCAGTTCAATTCCCACTGGGCCAGTGAGCTGCACCCGAGCTGAGCTGCTGCTAAGCTGCCAACAGGTGGCAGGATGGCTCAGCTGGTGGGAGCACCTGCTCCTGACAACAAGGTTGCCGGTTTGACTCCCTCATGGGATGGTGGGCTAAGCCCACCTGCAACTAAGACTGAACAAGACACCTTGAGCTCAGTGGCTGCGAACTACCAATGGGCAGCCGGATGGTGACTGAACTTGGAGCTGAGCTGAGCTGCGCTCTCCACAACTGGGATTGAAGGACAACAACTTGACTGTTCCCCTTCCCCAATTCCCCAACTTTGTTCCCCCTCCCCAATTCACCAATAAAATATTTTAAAAAAATCTTTTTTTTTTACAAATATTCTTTGAGAATCTACTACATACACCAAAGTTCAGAGAATATTTATGTGACCGAATCAGACTAGACCCTTTTTCCCATGGACATTATAATGTCCAATCATTTATTATTTACATTTAATGTTAATTAGGATAATTATACACAAGAAATTCATTAAAACATCACTTAGAAGATTGTAACATTGTGGGGAGGGGTTCGAATAATCTGTTTTTGAGGAAGTGACCCAGAGTTGAGCTCTGGTGTGAAAATCTGAGTAAATTAGATGAAAGAAATATTTTTATTTTTTTAATGATTTTATTATGGAATTGGGGAAGGGGAACAGTGTTGGGGAATTGGGGAAGGGGAACAGCCAAGTTGTTGTCCTTCAACCTTAGTTATGGAGGGCGCAGCTAGCTCAGCTCCAAGTCCAGTCACCATCCAGCCACCCGACGGCAGCTCGCGGACATTCAGCTCAAGGTGCCATGTTCAATCTTAGTTGCAGGTGGGCATAGCCCACCATCCCATGCAGGAGTCAAACCAGAAACCTTGTTGCTAAGAGCGCACGCTCTCACCAGCTAAGCCATCCTGCCACCTATGTAGGTCAACGGCAGTTCAGCTCGGGCACAGCTCACTGGCCCATGTGGGAATAGAACCGGTGACCCTGTTGCTCAGAGATCGCACTCTTAACCAACTAAGCCACTTGTCCAGCCCAGAAATATTTAAATAAGGTAAATATTTTAGCATAATTCCTGAGTCAGAATAAGAGTATGGTGCCTTGCGAGAAATTTGATATATATTTTGAATATTTTATTTTCAAAATGAACATAAATAAAACGATTAGTTTGAAGTTCAGTCATACAGTTTACCAGTGATTGAGACTTGAACATATAATGTTATCGCTGACAGCTACTCAAATCTATGCCAAATGAATGGTGTTGAAGTTGGAGAGAGAATGGTGGTTACCAGTGGTTGGGAGGTGGGGAAAATGAAGACATGTTGGACAAAGGGTACAAACTGCCACTTAGAAAATTAATAAGTTCTGAGGATCTACTGTATATTAGTGTGGTTAGAGTTACAATACTACATTATACAAGGTGTGACAGTTAAGTTTGTGAGCTCAACCTAGAAAAAGTGCTGCATATCTCATTGCTGAATATCACTACACTCACCTTTGAAGTATTCCCCTTGGGAAGCTATGCACCAACGCCAGTGCAGAAATTTTGAAACTCTTTTTGTGGAACGGCCATTAAAGCTGCCATCCTATTGCCCTTGATGTCCTGAATGTTAACAAAATGTGTTCCTTTCAATATTTCCCTTATCTTGGGGTGAAAAAAGAAGTCATTGGGGGCCAGATCAGGTGAGTAGGGAGGGTGTTCCAGTACAGTTATTTGTTTACTGGCTAAAAACGCCCTCACAGACAGTGCCGTGTGAGCTGGTGCATTGTCATGATGCAAGAGCCATGAATTGTTGGTGAAAAGTTCAGGTCATCCTTTCATGCAACCTTCACAGCACTTCCAAATAGTAAGCTTAGTTAATTGTTTGTCCCGTTGGTACAAATTCATAATGAATAATATCTCTGATATCAAAAATTGGTTAGCAACATCATTGCAACAAGTTCACAAACTTAATTGTCTGATCTCATATACTTCAAAGTTGCTAAATAGTAGATGTTAAATCTTCTCACAACATAAAAAAATTATTATTATTTGACATGATGGAGCTATTAGGTAGTGCTACCATTGTAATCATATTGCAAATATAAACATGTCAAATGAACACAGTGTTTACCTTAAACTTGCACAATGTTGTACATCAATTATATCTCAATGAAGCTGGAAAAACACTAAGAGAACCACAAATATAAGTGAATTCTATAGGATCACAGAAGATGATAAGACAACTTGCAGATCAGCTCGAAAAAATACACTTAAAAAACTGGACTTTGACCTGGCTTACACTGGATAAGCAGGGTCAGAATTGCAGGAATCTCTTAAAAATGGGCAGAAGACCTGAATAGACATTTCTCCCAAGATGACATACAGCCAACATATGTATGAGAAAATGCTAAACCTCACTAGCTATTAAGGAAATGCAAATCAAAACCACAACAAGAAGCCACCTCACCCCTGTTAGAATGGATATTAACAAAAAGAGAAGTAATTATTATACAGGAGTTGTAGAGATAAAGGAACCCTCATACACTGCTGATGCAAATGTAAACTGGTACAGCTGCTATTGAAAATAGTATGGAGGTTCCTCAAATAATTAAGAATAGAATTACCATATGACCCAGCAATCCCTCTTCTAGGCTTCTGGGTATCCACCCTAAAAATCTGAAAACATTTATCTGTAAAGATACATGCACCCCTATGTTCATTGCAGTATTATTCTTGGTAGTTAAGACATGAAAACAGTCAAAGTCCTTCAATAGATAATTGGTAAAGCAGATATGGTACATATATAATAGAATATTAGTGGGCCATACAAAAAGGTGAAATACTGCCATTTGCAACAACATGGGTGGTTCTTAACATTATCGTGGTAAGTGAAATAAATCAGACAGAGTAATTCAAGAACCATATGATTTCACTGATATGTGGAATACAAAACTGAAGGCAACAAAACAGCAAGACAAACAAAGAAACATAAACTCAGACACAGGGAACGTTTTATTGGTTACCAGCGGGGGGGGGGGGGTTAGAAGAAGGCAAAGGAGGTCAAATATATGGTGATGGAAGTAAATCTGACTTTGGGTGGTGAACACACAATGCAATATATAGGTGTGTATTATAGAATTGCACGCTTGAAACATCTATAATTTTATTAACTAATGTCACCCTAATAAATTAATTAAAAAATAAATAAATTACAGAATTCGCAGCATTATATTTTGAATTAAGCAATAGAGAGGAGGAAAATTATAGAGCTATAAAAGTATGAGCTATGAGCAATCACAGGATGGTAATTAGGACTAGCTGAAATATTTATTATAATTCAGTTTTCATTTGTTACTTAAACATAAGTACTCGTATAGGAAAAACATGTCATTTCAGGCTATCTTACCCTTATTAACTAAAGAAATAAATTATGCACATCAATGTAGTTTAACTCTTACATTATAAAACAATAAAATTAGACTATCCTACAATTAGCAGCTAAACTTGCATTAGTATGTATAATTAGTGTAATCGTTCGTCAAGCTTCTGTGTGAATCAAACAAGAAACTGTCTTTTATCCTCTATGAAAATTAAGGTTTTCCAAAGTATAGAACCTACCTTCCTGGGGTTCTGCAGTTCCTGGCGATGATGTTGGCCGAATACTTTGTTCACGAAATACTACAGGAAATGAATAGAAATTACTTAATTATAAACAGGCTTGTGCAATAACCAATTATTATACATTAGTAGAATGAATCCTTTATTATTAAATGGTTTTGTTATGGCTTTGAGCTTCATATAAACTGGCCTAGAAAAACTTACAATTTTTCAGCTGTATTCCCAAATTAGCCATCAACACAAGGCACGTTACTGCTAAGATCCCAGAAATCAACCTCCATGGAGTGGTCTGAAAAGCTGTAGAGAAAGAGAGGTCGGGTGATGACTTAAAGAGCAAACCCAGGAGCTGAAGGTGTAAAAGCAGAAACCTGGAGGAGAGAATTTAAAAATTTCTTTGGTTTGACAACCCAAATATCTTCCAATGCAACACTGGAAAATGAAGACATTCCATTCAGAACTCCACCCAACACCAAAACTTTTATGACATATACTTAATTTTATGACTCTGGCCGACTTACCTGCCATGAGAACTGTTGTTCCAGTGTCGATACCAGTAAGACACGATGTAAGCTTGTTCAAGAAGCACGTTGTTGGATCACGGAATTGAGCTGGAGGATTGGAATCTGTACGTTGTGTAAGCAGAAATTTTAAAAAAAGAAAAAAGAAAAATTGTGTATTTAAGTGCTGTTCTTCATCATCCATTGGTGAGACATGATGTACAATACAGTATGCACAACAAGCAGTTAAATCACTAACTTTTAAAATGTTCCGGAAACCACAACACAGGAAATTCTCAGTGCACATGTGTAATGTGAATTCTTTGATTATCAGGCAGCAATGTGAGATAAAAGTGTTTTTGTTTGTTTTTAATGTTTAAATATCATCATCTTTTAAAAATATTTGGAAAATAGGAAAAAAGATAGGTAAATCAAAGGTAAATTAACTTAGTATGATGAAGCTCCACAAAGCGTTTTCCTCTTTTAATAATGAGAAACATTTATAATTTATGTTGTACAAAACACAGATTAAAGCCCTTGGCATAGGTTAGCTCATTTATTTCTGAGAATAGCTTGATAGTAAGGATATATAATATACTCATTTTAATGATGAGAAAAGTAAGGTAGGATGACAGGCTTCACTACAGTCATTAACTCTGAATCCAGTCAGTCTTTCTCCCGAGCACACATGCCGTACATTTCAAATCATACCTATTCCTCTGTGTGTTGCTGTGTTTTCTTATTTCCATTTTTTTTCTTCACAAGAGAGTAGTTGGTATTTCCATCTCTCATTCTATGATTCTGAGACTGCCTCATTAGCTATGAAAGACAAAGATCAAAAAAGTAGAACCAGAGTGACTCCCCAATACTGTTCCATGAACACACACACACACACACACACACACACACACACACCTGTGCTCTACACCTGCCTCAGCTGGTCTAGGCCCTTCAGCACCTCTGTACTCTCCAGGTTCTGTTCCCTGAAATCTTTGAAACCACTGCAGTTGCTCTATTATACTTATTTGAATATATTTTAAGTATTATATTAATTATTGTGTTTTATCATTCAGATAGTATACTGATAGTTGAATTTACAAGGTGTTCTCCCTCAGAAGAATACCTTACCAGTGGGAATTTAAACGTGGGACAGATGGGCAGGATAAGAACCTTGAGAGTAGGGACCTTGCTCTATGAATAAGTATTTGGAAATACAATCTACCATTCACCGCATATAAAGCAGATTCCTAAATTTTTTATTGTTTATATTATTTATGCTTGTTTTACAATATTATCATAGATGAAGCTTTTTTAAAATATTGATCGTTTAACCAAAAACAAAGAATAAAAAGAAAAAGAAAAAACAAGGACTGTGATACATCTGTTTTCCTAAAGTTAAAAGTTTCTAGCCTTGTGGAGCCACGAATAAAGGCAACAACTAACCATGCCATTTCCTATCCATAGATAATATGAGATTATAAACATGGGTTGTTTTAAGTTTCTAAAGTACTCTTAATTTGTTGTGTACCAATATATCACATGTATTATATATATTAGGGTAATAAGAAGATAAAATTAAAAAGGTATAAGCTTTACA